AACCTCTCTCTCCCCCCCCCCCACCTCAACCGGACCTGCCCTGATAGACTAACTCGGGAGTCAGGATAGACTCATGCCACACCATAACTATGCCCCACACCTTCCAGACCTCCCACCCATCCCTATCTCTCCCCCCTCTCTCCTTTTTCTTTCCCCGGGCGAGGTCGGGGACCGCCTGGCGCAACAGGGCTACAATATATCTGAGCCCGAGAAGGCACCACGATTTCCCTATGGGACGTGGGCCCAACGAGACATAGCTCAATAGACTCAGGGGGGGTCCCATGACGTGGGAACTCCTACAACAAACAGCAAACACAAGTCAACACTAGATGACTGATACAACTGAGCACTGAGACATCACACCATCCCCATCCGAGGGGGGAAACACTCCAGACACACCACAGATACCACACGTGGACAGCGACTGGAGCACAACAACGATTACCGCCCACAAGTAAGCAAAACGACAGAGACAGCTGACCAGGCCGCTGGGCGCTCCCCCCCTCCCGTCGTGATGGCACTGCCTCACGGCGGGGGAGGGGACGCGGATTCAGAGCGAGAGGGTAGCTGACCCAGGAGAGAACCCGCAACATACCTAGGCACCACCGAAGTTAAGGAAAAGACAACAGGAAAGGGAGTCCCAGACCAGATGCAAGACTATAGGACTCGATCCCGTAAAATGACCCCTTTCTCACTCCCCATGTTAGAGGACATGACCTGGGACCTACCGCACTACTCACCATTTGATTGAGGTTCAGCTATAGAATTGTTCTGCCCTCACTGGTGTGGGCCAGCAGTCATCCGCTTCCGATAACGCTCTATAAAGATCCACCTAAAACTGGTGGTACTCATGTCAGACGCAATTGGAGACTTGCGAGTCTCACGGACAATATAAGCTCTGCTATCTGTTATTGTCTGAACTGCTAATAAAAAACCTTACAAAAAAAAATTCTACGTGTATATTTAAGTAATCTTTTAACATAATTATGTGATTTGATTAATTAAAATTTGATTGACATGCCTGACAACACAGGGAGAAAGTGCAGAGAATTTAATTTGCAAGCACTATATTTGACCCTGTAACTCTCCAAGACAACATAAAACCTGTACATAGGGGGTACTGTTTTACTCGGGAGACTTTGCTGAACTCAAATATTAGTGTTTCAAACTGGTAAATTGTATTACAACGATGATATGTTAAGTAAAAGTGCCTTTTTTGCATTTTTTACAAACAAACGGCACTTTTATGGACTATATTATTGTTGTAATATGTTTTACGGTTTTAAAACACTAATATTTGTATTTAATGAAGTCTCCCGAGAACAACAATACCCCCATGTACAGGTTTTATGGTGTTTTGGAAAGTTAGAGAGTCACATATAAGGCTTGCATTTCATTTTTTTGACATTGAAATTTGCCAGATTGGTTATGTTGCCTTTGAGACCATATGGTAGCCCAGGAATAAGAATTACCCCCATGGATTGCATACCATTTGCAAAAGTAGACAACCCAAGGTATTGCAAATGGGGTATGTCCAGTCATTTTTAGTAGCCACTTAGTCAAAAACACTGGCCAAATATTAGTTTTTTGCTTTTTTCACAAAAAAAACAAATATGAACGCTAACTTTGGCCAGTGTTTGTGACTAAGTGGCTACTAAAAAAGACTAAACATACCCCACGTTCAATACCTTGGGTTGTCTACGTTTTCAAATGGTATGCCTTTATGAGGGTAATTCTCATTCCTGGGCTACCACACCGTCTCAAAGTTAACATTGCTAATCTGACAAATTTCAATTTGAACATGGAACGTTCTATATTTGACCCTGTAACTTTCCAAAACACCATAAAACCTGTTAATGGGGGGTACTGTTGTACTTGTGAGACATCGCTGATTACAAATATGGGAATTTTATTGCAGTAATACCTACCGGTATTATGACATTTACAGCTAAAATGTGAGGCGGAACTACATATTTTTTAAAAAAATTTAAAAAAATTTCACAGGTTTTTAAATTTTATTCATAATAAATTATGTTCCATATCTGAATAGTTAATGATAAATTAAAGCCCTGTTTCTCCTGAACAAAATTATATATAATAAGTGTGGGTGCACTTAATGTGATAGCGGTGAATTACGGTTGAACAGACATATAGCGCAAATTCCAGTTTTTGTTTACGTTTTGTTTTGATCAGAACGTGTACTATTGACTCCGTCCTGAAGGGGTTAATAACCCCCCAGGGAGACCTATTGTGTCCGGCATCAACTCAGTTTATCCAACTTATCTGAATACCTAGATACTCTACTACAGCCCTCAAGTAAAACGTATGAAATCCTATTTAAAAGAATCTATGACCCTACTTCGTTTTTTAAATGATTTTACATGGAAAGATACATATATTTTAGCCACTTGTGATGTATAGTCTCTGTACACCATTATTCCTCATGTGGACGGTTGTTTGGCAGTAGAAGGGATTCTAAAAGCCAAAAATAAGATCAAAGACAATCAGATACGTTTTATTATTGATGGTATTAACATTATTTTAAACAATAATTATTTCTGTTTTTAGATTCATTGTATTTACAGAAGCAGGGGACTGCCATGGGGACCAGGTTTGCCCCCAGTTATGCCAACCTGTTTATGGCAGAATGGGAATCATCTGCCATATTGGGTGGGCATGACTGGAAGGCAAACCTGATTACATATTTCAGATACATCGATGATCTGTTTTTTATTTCGGAGGGCTCTGAAAGTTCTCTTAACCATTTTTTACAATTTTTCAATTCTAATGATAAAGGTATTATCCTAACTTGGGAATACAGTCAATCCCTTATTCATTTTTTAGATTTAGACATTTTTATCCAAAACAATCAATTGCAAACAAGGACTTTTTTAAAGAAAGTATGTACTAATAATGCCATTGACATGACTAGTTGTCACCACAAACCCTGGCTCAATGGGATACCAAAAAGTCAGTTCCTCCGTCTTCGGAGGACTTGTTCCCTTATTCAGGATTACGATTACCAATCGAATACTTTATTAAATAAATTTGCCCCAAAAAACTATCCCATTAACGAGCTTAATACAACAAGAAATACTGTTAAAGAGAAACATAGACCAGATCTCTTAGAAGATAAGACGACCACTGAGGGTGTCCCATCATTGTCAATCATTTTTGATTTTAACAACAAAAGTCATGTTGTAAAAAAAATCATAAATACTGGCATATATTAAAACAGGATGATATTCTGGCTGGGATTATTCCTGATAAATCTCATGTTATATTTAGAGGAGCACCCAGCTTCAAATCTATCCTCACAAATAACTTTACTAAAGCAAAAAGCATTGCCTCCCACTTAAGTTCCCCCTCCCCGTTTACTAACCCTAACGGTTTTTTAAATGTAGTAAGTTCATAGCCTGTAAACGTACTGATGCGACCATTAGATCAAAGACAATTTCCTTTATGTCATCCATCACACAGAAGACTTATCAAATAAATAATTTTATCCATTGCAACACAAAAAATGTGATTTACTTACTGGAGTGCCCACGTGGGCTCCAGTATGTTGGTATGACAGCCAGAAATCTTAAAATTAGGCTAGCGGAACATTGTCGTAACATCTCTAAAGGTTATGAAAATCATTCAATATCTAAGCACTTTTTAATGCATAATAAAAATCCCAAATTACTTAAATGTATAGGTATCGATGTATGTGAAATCCCATGGAGAGGAGGCAATATAAAAAAGATCTTAGGTAGTAAAGAAATGGAATGGGCTTATAACTTAAAGACCCTCACCCCACTAAGCCTCAATATAGAATTTGACCTTTTTAATTTCTTATTTTTTTTTTTAACAAAAGTAAAAAAAAAAAAAAGTTTGTTTTTTTTTGCAGTTTTTTAGCTTTTATGCAACCCTCCTACTATATTTTTTTTTTTTTAAATTCTTTATTTTTGTCGTGCAAGAATTTACAACAGTGTCTGTGTAGCCACAACAGCTGTAACAGACGCAGTCAAATATAACATAGTAAAACATTTTCGTGGCATAAGTTAACTCAGCACGTTTTTGTAATTTAATGAACAGGAAAGACAACCTTAAGCAGTGTACGGTTCAACACAGGTATGGGCAAAAGCGTTTAAGTAGCTGGGTCACATGTTGGTTTACGCCTTTATGTGAGGTATACAGTATTGTATTCCAGCAGTGTTTGTGGGTGTCGTGGTATATGTGTCGCTTGGGGCCTATCTGCTAAGCAGCAGCTTGATTACTTTAGCTGGTTTAGTGCTGCTAAAGTTTAGTATTGGCCTAAGTCAGGGCTGATCCTGTGTGAGTAATTAAGCATTAATCAGGAGCAATCGTTAGCTGAGGTATAGTGTAGGACAGAAACATAGCTGATCTTATGGTGCTCCAGCAATATTTGTGAGTCCAGGAGCATATATTTCGCTTGGGCCCACCAGTTAAACAGCAGTTTACAGACATGGCGCAAAGCCAAGCGTACTAGAAGTACATTAGTTGCTTAAATTCTGACTAATCTTAGCTTGTGTACTCATATTATACAATTGCTGAACTCTGACTTTAGTCCCCCCCGTGCTCCCCTGGGTGAGCAGACCAGAAAACAAAATAGAAAGCAAAAGAAGTAAATTATATGTTCCAGTATACATTCGTGAGAGTTCAATTGGGGCACAGAGAGCTGTGTGACAGATGGTATTATGCCCAGATTTGAGTCTTAGTCCCTTTGGGGGTCAGCCGATGCCTTGTTGGGGCTGTGTATGTACCTTCTGCGGTAATCGGTGCAGCTGGTGCGCTCTCCTCGGTGTGAAGAAGCTGATGTCCCCTAGGCTATGCAGTGTTGCTGTGGGCGCTGAGTGTAGCTCCAGCCAAGCTGTGCGTCGGGGAAGGTTTGCCTGTCTTGGGCTGGGGTAGCTCTGTATGTACCGTCCTGACGCGGTCACCTCCCCTGGTCCTGCTCCCCTCTGCTTCACTTGCCGTATCTGGGGAGGTCTTTTGCTCAGTTTCGCCTGTCCCCTCCGTTTCACTGCCTTGCATGGGGGGTGCGAGTACTTGCCCCTCTGCCGCCGTCCAGCTTTCGTTTTTTTGGGCCTTGTGACTAGCCTCTGCCCCTGCTGGTTCGGGTTAGCGTCACCCTTGTGATACAGCTGTTGTTGGGGCTGCGCTGCTGTTTGTCCCCGTCTGGCCTCCTGTGAGGTGCGCTGTGGCGAGGTCTCGAGTGGGGCTCTCATGCGGGCTTCCAGGGACTCCCAGAAAATAGCGAAGATGCTGTTCAGCTGCATCTCCGTTTCCCGCCATATTGAACACCGCTGGGTCTGTTAGTTTTGGGCTCCACGGAGCCGATTCTGGCCCATTGCTTTGCCAGGGAGTCAGTTGGGGGTAGACCGGGATAACCCCCACCGGTCCAGAGGGGGGGGGAACGAGGGCTTGCAGCCAGATTCCGGGCATGGCATTGCAGCTGGGGAGCGGCCGTCTCCCCTGCGCCCGCCATGCCTGTAGGCCTCATTGTGAGTTGTGCTCGGTTCGTCGCTGGAGAGGTATCGTTTTCTTCCCCTCGGTGTCTACTCTCGAGTGGTAGCTTTAAATTCACAATTAAATGCCTGTGTAACGGTGAAATTTAGCATTAAGTGCCGAGTTTAGCAGGAGCTGCTGTGGTGAGCTTCCTCACAGCTCTGCAGCCAGGCCCCGCCCCCCCCTACTATAATTTTAAAAATATTTGATTATATAATTCACTGTATTTGTTATTATTTTTCTCAACTTATTTTAAGTATGTTTCTTTTTATACTTAACTTTTAATGTATTATATTATTGCATATATAATTTATATTTCTGTGTATACATATATTCTATTTTATTAACGTTACAGTTGTATCTATGTTTACATTCTGTTCCAATGGCATTCACCTATGTTTATCTGTTAGATTATGTTAGTGACCTCTGATGGGTTTTGAACTTGTGGAGTGTATGTTACTAGACTGATGCTCTACTGATGCAGCCATCTGCACCATATAACTCTTTTGACCGACCACACACATGATTTCATCCCCAAAACAGTTCCAGAGAATTTGGATGTGCGGCCGATCTATTTCCAATACTAAGTTCAGTGCAAATAAACGAACGGCAACTGTTCATGCAAATGTCAATGTTAAAGTGCCATTCGAATTGTCGAACTGTGTTCGACTCCAGTCGAAGAGTTGAAGGTCAGAGAAGGTAAAGTTTCAGCGGTGTTCGTGCTGTCATGTGTCCGATTTGAGTTCCATGAACAAAACACAGCTAAACTTGTTCGACTGAATTAAAATGGCCGCCGCCACGTGTTTGAATGTCGAATGGCGGCCACTTCGACTGTATCCGAAATGCCACTTCAAAGGTGTAAAGCTGTTCCAAAATAATTTAAAGGGGCAAAAACAGTATTTTAACATCCAATATGCCCACAGAGTTTTTACAATACCCCCCAGAGTCCATAGTCACAGGGCAAGAGGCTGGCAAGCAGGCCTCTCCAAATCCCTGTGACAAAGGTGCTTTCATCACAATATTTTATATTTTTTTATAGTAAATTATATGATATGATGAAAATAATCATATCTTTAGAAAGACCATTTAATGGCGAGAAAAATGGTATATAATATGTGTGGGTACAGTAAGTGAGTAAGAGGAAAATTACAGCTAAACACAAACACCACAGATATGGAAAAACAGCCCTGGTTCCAAACGGTGAGAAAATTGAAAAGTGGTCTGGTCTTAAGGGGGTTAAAGAAATGTTTATTTTTCTTTGCAACACAATAAAAAAATAGCAATGGTAACGTCTTAGACAGTAAGGCGTGTGTGATCCAGGAGCTAGCCTATGGGGAAGCTTCAAATGGATATATAATAATATTCTAAATATACTTAAAGGGACACCATAGGCACTGTATCTGCTTCATCTCATTAAACTGGTTATAGTGTATGGAGTCCCTGGTGCCATCATTTCTTTCAGCATTAAACAGTTTTTAATGTTGTAGTTTTAATGTTAAACAAGAGACCACGGCAGTCCATCCCCTCTGTGCTGCTTTGCCTAATAAGGAAGTATTACCCTGAGCAGCAGTGGGCAGTTGTGATTGGCTGAGAGTGTCAGCTGACTGCTTTTAACCTGTCAGAGCTCCAACAGATGGTATGACAAGGAAGTGTGTAATCTCTGCCTTAGCCACACATACAGAAGGGGACGGACTGTGGGTGGCCAGGGACTCTTATTTTGTGGCATACTGCACAAACATGGTGCAACACTGAATAGAGGGACAGTGCCAGGGCACTCCAGGCACTATAACCAATTCAAAGAGACAAAACGGTTATAGTGACTACAGTGTCCCTTTAACAATGCTTTATAGTGTGTGTGAACATGGAAAGTAGAATATATGAAATATGACAGATTATTACTGTGTCTTTAAAAGTTGTTGTTAACTTAAAAGAAGCCTTAAAAGATGTATATAAATCTACTGAGTAAAATAGAAAATGCAACAGTTATATGTGGTGTAGGTATCCTGATCTCTGTAATAGTACAGGATTATTGATACAATCACCAAATAATATACTTTGTAATAAAGATGTGAGAAAAAATAGTAGTAAATAGTAGTAGAACAGTATATGGAACGGTCTACTGCAATGCAGTACATATACCACTTAAAAACACTTGGAACCACTTGAACAAAACAAATGGTATAACTGGATGAATAAAAAACAGTTTATTGAATATAAAAGTCAAAAAGTAATAAAATAATCTGGAACAGTTCACAAGAATATGGTCAGCAAAGTGGAGATAAAAAGTAACAGTAAACCTGCAAATCCGGCAAGGATGGAATTGGATTCTGCTGTAGGTGTAAGCCCTCTGGGAACCGGCTGCCTGTGAGGATGGCTTGCATCTCAGTGCTTTCCAGCTGCAGACCTCACTGAGCGGCGAACACTGCTGCGGTCCAGGGGTGTCAGAAGTCACTGAAAACTTGAATCTCCTTCTAATCCGTGTCTGTATCCTGTTAGATCTGGGTATTCTTACGCGTTTCGTGGATGTCAGCCCCACTTCTATAGAGACTTGATCATATTTCATATATTCAACTTTCCGTGTTCACACACACTATAAAGCATTTTTAACCCCTTAAGGACTGGACTGTTTTTGCGATGTTGTACATTTGCAACCAGGAATATTTTTACACTTTTCTGGTGTTTGTGTTTAGCTGTTATTTTCCGCTCTCTCATTTACTGTTCCCATACAAATTATATATTGTTTTTTTCAGGACAAAAGGGGCTTTCTTTACATACCATTATTTATATAATCTCATGTATTTTAATTTAAAAAAAATAAAAAAATATGATGAAAAATTGAAAAAAATACATGTTTTTTGACTTTTACTTGAAAAATCTTTTACTCATCTACAAAAGCGAATGAAAAAAACAGCTAAATAGATTCAAAATTTTGTCCTGAGTTTAAAAATACCCAGTGTTTACATGCTTTTTTGCTTTTTTTGCAAGTTATAGGGCTATAGGTACAAGTAGGATATGGCGGTTTCAAAACAAATTTTTTAAATGTATCAATAGTGACATTGTAACACTATTATCTGTCATAAATCTCTGGAAAACACTCCACATGTATATATTTTTTTTAAAGTAGACAACCCAGGGTATTCATCTAAGGATATTTTGACACTTTCTATGCAGCCATTTTACCACAAGTCTTTGCCAAACTTTGCATAGATAGTTGTTTTTTTTTTTTTTTTCACATACATTGCAATTCAGGTATAAACTTACAGATCCTGTTATGTCTTGCTGCCAAAAAACACACTAATATATGTTCAGCAATATCTCCCGAGTACAGTGATACCACTCATGCATAGGCTTGTCGGATTGTTTGGGGGCTAAAAGGCCACATTTGGCAGGTGCGCATATCCATTTTTCAACTTGGAATTTTGACATGTAGTCAACCTGTGCACATGTCCTATTTGGGACATTTGTAAGGCCGGCCAATGTATTTTACCCCCACCAAACCATATATTTTTGGAAAGTAGACACCCTAGGGTATTTTAAATGGTGTTTTTTTAACACTTTCCATGCACTAATTCTACCACCAGACTTTGTCAAACATTTAGGTAGTCATTTTTGTGTGTTTTTTTTCACACACATTGTACTTTAGGCATGAATTAACAAATCGTGTTATGTGTCACTGCCAAACAACATGCCAATATGTGTTCAGCAACATCTCCTGAGTACAGTGATACCACCCATGCATAGGCTTGTTGGATTGTTTGGGGGCTAAAAGGCCACATTTGGCAGGTGCGCATATCCATTTTTCAACTTGGAATTTTGACATGTAGTAAACCAGCGCCCCTGTCCTATTTGGGCCAATGTATTTTACCCCCATCAAACCATATATTTTTGAAAAGTAGACAACTCAGGGTATTTTAAATGGTGGTAGTTTAATACTTTTTCATGCAATAATTCTACCACCAGCCTTTGGCAAACTTTTGGGTAGTAATTTTCTTCATTTTTTTTACACATACATTGTACTTTAGGCATGAATTAACAGATCCTGTTATGTATCACTGCCAAACAACACCCCAATATGTGTTCAGCAACATCTCCTGAGTACAGTGACATCACCCATGCATAGGTTTGCTGGGTTGTTTGGGGGCTAAAAGGCCACATTCAAGACTTGTACATATTAGTTTTTCAACTTGATATATAGGTATGCTTGGCCTATCTTCAGTTTGGCATATTTTTGCATCCCCCCGTTAATGTTAACATCATGAAAGTTTATATTTTTATAAAGTAGACATTCCAGAGTATTGTATATGAGGTGTTTTCACATCCTTCCCCCAACCATTGTGCTAAACAAATTTCAGAGAACGTGCATGGTGGTAATTTTTTAATTCTGCTTTTTATGCACACGTCATCTGGTTTTGGCCAGCCAGTTATATGTTACTACCATAAAACTTTTTTAACCAAATGTGCAGGTATCAAATGCACCTTTAGCAGCATTCTCTAAACTAACTCCTGCAAAAAGAATCTAATTGGAGATTTGGGGGAAGGAAACTGACTAACTAAAATTTGCTGCTTTCAAAAGAAAAAAAAAACAGTACAAAGGGGTGTCTGTCCTTTTCCTTTTTTATAACAGACCCAGCAACATTTCAGGGGATTTGGTTTTTTTTTTGCAGTTGGCGGTATCTTAAAAATAAAATGTCTGGACTCCTTTGGCACCGTTGTTGGAACTTGACCATCTCCATAAATTATTGTGGAAATCAGCTTGAACTAAAATTGGAGAAAGGTGGTTCTTTCTGGATTCATTTTTTTTTAAAGAGTAAAAATTAATTATGTGTTGCTACTTGCATCAGGTAGATAGCCACCTTTTTATACCAGGCTTTTGTCTTTCTTAAGATAAGATATGGCTGCATCAGCTGATCAGCCAAATCAACACCCCCCATGTGCCTGTTATAAGCACTGATGCACACCGGTTTTGTCTGTACCCTGCCTCGGACAGTGACGTCTGACATGCCCTCGTTATGGATGGTTGTTAGCATGTGAACATCCTTCCTGTCCTTAAATTTTATTGCAAGCACTTTAGCTTTGTGCAGACCTTTACATTCACTTTTTTTTTTTTTATTTGGCCTCTATAAAAGGTCTGGGGAAATCCTTGGCATATCTTCTCACACTGCCACAGGCCAGTATCTAGAAACCCTAAAGAGTTTGAAACAAACGGACAATGCTATAAAAATTGTCCACATAAAGGTGGTAACCCTTATTGAACAAGGGGATCAGTAAGTCAAAAACAAGTTTCCCGCTTGTCCCCAGAGAGTCAGTACAGCCAGGAGGGTCCAGTTGACCATCTTTCCCCTCATATATACGAAAGGCAAATGTATAGCCACTTTCGCTCTCGCACAGTTTGTAGAATTTTACGCCATACCTAAAGCGCTTTGAGAGGATGTATTGTTTGAATCCTAATCTCCCTTTATATTTCATTAACGATTCATCAATAGATAAATTTTTTTGAGGAGTATAAACTTCAGTAAATTTGTGCTGAAGATGGTCTACCAGTGGGTGTATTTTATGAAGCCTATCATATTGGGTGTGATCTCTGCGGTGACAGAGGGTATTGTCATTGAAATGTAAGTATCTCAGCAGCAGCTCAAATCTTGTTCTAGACATGGTTTGAGAGTACACTCGACTAGAACAGATTGGGTTGGTGCTCCAGTAAGAGCAAATTGATGGCTTCTTTATAATCCCCATGAGAATTGTAAGAGCCCAGAATTTTTTAAGTTCAGCGATATCTGTGGGATGCCAAGCATGCTCCCTGACTGTATAGCTACCTGGATTGGTCTCAATAAATTGGCTAGCGTATAAATTAGTCTGGGAAGCAATCTCCTCCTAGATGGTATCCCCTAAAAATAACTCCATATATTGTATAGGGGAGAAGTCATCCACATTCACATTAATGCCTGCGTTGGCACTAAAAGGGGGGATGTTGGGCTCAGCTAACTGTGGAGGTACCCAGTCCTCCTCCACATTCAGAGTAGCAGGGGAAGCACAGCTTCTTTTAGCAGCTGGCTCGCTCACAGATGACATGTCACTAGACGTGCCGCTAAACTGACCTGGGTCAAAATCGGACGCAGTGTCAGTGGCGTCAGAGTCTGACGCCAAGAAGGCATATGTCTCCTCAAAGCTGTACATGCGCTGCATGTTTCACACCAACAGACTAAACTAACAAAATACTAAACCCAATATTTATTTATTTTTTTAAAACACTAAAACAGACTAAAACAGACTAAAACAGTAATCCCTAAACTAACTCCTGTTAGAAGAATCTAATGGAGATTTGGGGGAAGGAAAC